CCCACCGACGCACGAGCGCTCGGCAGCGCCGCCGTGGGCTCCGCAGCTCCGCAGAAGGAGGGGGCGCCGGCGGGAGGGAGGAGAGGGGAGGGAGGGCGCGGGCTGGGGCGGGGACGCTGCGCGATGGAGCAGCGCGGCGCCGTGGGGAGGGCCGGCGGCCAGCGGGGGCGCATGCGTGGGGGCTCGCCAGGGGGCCGAGCGCGCGCGCGCGCGCGCCTTGGGCAGCTGCGGGCGGCGTCCAGGGCACCCTTCAGCTTGCCAGAACCGGGGGCTGCGGGGACCAGTCGGCTGCTCTCCGACCCTCCACCCCCGTGGCCCTCTGAGAGTCACGGGTCGGTGTTCGAACAGTCATGACCTCGTCCGACCCACAGACAGGTAGATGTCCCAGAGTCCAAGCCAAAGTCCATATGCCACCGAGGTCAAACTTCCGGACGCACCGGTTCCCGTTTACCCGGAGTTACAGACGTACACCTCGAAAGGTACCTCTACAGCCGGCAAACACCCTCTACAGCCTGTCAAACTAGACACAGCCAACTGGAAGATGACTACCACGCCGCGTCACACACAAATACCCAGACTACACCCAAAGCGCCAACAGCGCAAGTCACGTAGGCCCCTTGGTTCACAGGCTGCCAAGCACATACCACTCACGCAAACACCCCAGCTCACTGACACCTCAGCTCACAGTGGACGCGCCCACTCGGATCCATGCTCAAACTCAGGTGCCCCATACACCCCAACCTAGGACCTGTCCTGTGCTGCCACGCGTACAGAGTGGCCCAGAGACCCCCTTCTTCAGGTTAGTCCAGGCTTCCCGAGCTAAACCACTCCATCATGGGGAGGCACGTGGGTGCAGGACCCGCTTCCAAGGGAGCCACAAGGGCAACATCTGGTCGCAGCATGTGTACTCTGGATGCAAGAACCTGGGAAAGCCTTTGCGCCTCGGCCTCTGACCCTCTGCCTTAGGCTCCCTCCTGGGCAGTGGTGCCAGGAGGATGTTTGTGGCTCTTAAAACCCTAAGGTGGAGAGCAGCGTCCCCGGGGCCTCACGCCAGCCTCACACCTCCTTCCACCCCTGTGAACGCTGGAAGGGAATCCAGAGAGCAAGTACAAGGGTCCAGACTGCCAGCTCACGTGCTTCCCAGAATCCCAGCCCCCTTTTCCCCTACCTCAGGATTTGCGTGTGCATGTGCGCATGTGCGGTGAGAGTCTGCCTTTGGGGGCTGGGCCACGGGGCGGTCCCCAAGCTGAGTCACCAGAGCCCGGGTTCCTACCGCCTGAGCTACTCAACAAGTACCAAGTCCCAGCCCTTCCCTCCCTACAACTCTGCTGCTGAGCAGGTACCCTATCATTCCAGCAACATCTCCCGGCTCAGTTCCCCGCCCCCAACCTTGAGCAGCTCCCTGGGGAAGTCGCCGCCATCATTGAGGCCCTCCAGGTTTCCGATGAAGTCCCCACAGGTCATGCGCTTCCCAATGTTCTAAGGGAGGAAAACAGAGGTCTGTGAGGCTCGCCTCCCAAAGCCACTAAGTTTACTCTTGCTTTCCGGCTCCCAGTGGCCATGCCCCACTCACGTGGCCGTGGAGATCTGTGTTGAGGAGCATGAGGGCACAGGTCAGCGTGTGCGCGCCGTCTAGGAGAGAACTGACTGTCAGCTTCGGCCAGGCCACCGTCCAGAGCAGGCCATCACCCACCTCTTTTTGCACCCTTTTGGCCCATGCTTCCTTACCACCGAACTCTGTGAAACCATTCCATCTCTCCTCCACCATTTCCTCAGCAAGGACCTCACCTCTGACCTCTGGTTGCCCCTTTCCCTAGTTCCCCAAGTTGCTGGGGCAGCTGCTCCCTGCCTGCCCCCAACATTCAACTTGCTCAGTGTACTAAACAAAAGCAAGCTGGTGGACATCACACCTACGCAGAGCAGCATATGAAGCCAAGCCTGGTCCTGCGCATACAGATGGGAGCAACTTCATGCAAACAACCTCCACCTGCCTCTCAACACACACTTGGCCTAGCAACATCCCTGCCTCACGGAGAGCTCCACATGCATGTAGCCCCATGTCACATTGATGAGTGCACATGCCTGCAAACATGTACACTCATTCCCTCTTGCACAAACACAAACCCCTCCTGTGTGGGGGTGCCTCCGTGTCTGGCGGGGACAACCCTGCCCCCAGCTTGCTCACCCTCTGAGGACAGGGCTTGAGGGTTGCACTGGAAGTACCGCTGGGAGAAGTGGGCCAGCACACGCTCCCGCTCCTGTGTCTCACCCATTAGTGCCAGCTCCTTCAGAAACACCCTGGGGTGGGAGGAAGATGATGTCACCCTCTGCCCAAGATCTCCACTCCAGGAAGTCCTGGTCTCAGAGAGTAATGTCAAGGCAACTTAGAAGACACATAGCTGGAACCCCGAACACCAAGTCTGGCCAGCGAGGCTATCCTCAGAGGGCTCGACCCACCTGAGAGCTTGATCCAGAGTCATGCCCGTGAAGACAAAGAACTTGAGATACTCGCCAGCTACCAATTTGCTGAAGTCATTGCTGTGGGCAGGGCAGATAGGTCGGGGTCACAAAGGGAAGTGTGAAGGGGCTAGCTGGGCATTGCCTAGAGACCTGGGGCATTAACTGGAGAGGGTGAGGTGCTGCCCCAGGATGTATTCCCTGACCCAAGCCTCGGTCCCAGCCCAGGGGCATTACTTCTTGCCCAAATGCCGGGCCACATCAGCCTTCCTGAAGCCGTCAAGCCGGTACAGCCTCTTGGCTAGGCGCTGGGCAGCCTCCAGGTCAGCCTTCTGCCCATTGGACAAGGTGTCGGTGCTTCCCAGGGCCAGCCGCTCTGTGCTGTCCAGCTCGGAGTCTGAGTCGGGCAGCAGCTGGTCGAGGGGGGGCTCACTGCCGGGAAGAGCAGCTGAGGTTGGGCAGAGCCCTTGAGAAGCGTCCAGACCCTCCCTTGGCTCTGGACCCAGAAGTTGGGGAATGGCTAGAGGGACACGGAAAGGTCATTTCCTCCTTTTAGGGAAGGAGATTGGCTAGCTTTCTCTCCATCTGCCTACTTCTTTCCATGGAAGTTCTGCTTCAAATCTAACCCATATCAGTCTTACTGCTATGGGAGTCCTGGCTGGTCCCCAAAGCTCCCAGGGGCCTAAATTTGCTCTTCGATATAGAGTCCCCATCTCCACACCTGCCCTCCTCAAGACAGTCTTCTCTGTGCACACTCCCATACACAGGCACCAGGTATAAATGGGTGCTGGGGAAGGTGAGGTCAAGCAAAGATCTGAGGGCATCAGGGACAGACACCTGTTCCCTTCATTTCCCGCCTTCCAGAGGACTCTCCTTGGTGCTCCCTGCTACCCATAGAGAAGTTTCTGGGGTTACAGTTTTGGGGGTTACCCCTCATCCTCTTCCTCTCCTTCCCTACCCCAGCTGCTCTACTTGCAAAGCCACCTGCCACCCCAGAGACAGAGGCCGGAAACTCCTGGTTGCTAGGCAACCCTGTCTCCCTGGCCACCCCCTCCTGTTGCCATGGCTTCCGTGACTGAGAGGGTAGCAGCAGAGGGGAAAGCACAAAGGTTAGGCTATGAAAGGACACTCCTAGAGCAGGGTTGGGACAGCCTCTTGGACAAGCCTGCAGAGGGAAGGGAAGGGAGGGGCTGGCTGTGGATCTAGCTGGGTGGGGGTGAGAGGCTCTGTCTGGGAAGGAGACAGCCCTCCAGGAGAGAAAGAGGATGTTCTCTGGGGATTCTTCAATCCTGAATCATGGTTTCTCCAGTCACTGGCTCTGAGCCCAGGGAGGGAGCTGCAGGGGGCCAATGGCAGGAGGCCTCCAAATGGGAAAACAGACATCTGTTAACCACCTGCTCTTGGTCAGGAATACATAAACTACTTCCTCATTCTGGGGCTCTGTCCCTTAATCAGCAGTTCCTGGGGGCCAGGGATTAGGGCTGACCAGGGCTGACCAGTCCAAAAAAAGAAAAAAACACAAAAAACAAAAAAACAAAACCTCACCTGCCCAGGGGTGCTACCCCCAGCCCAAGGCTATCTTCAGAGTGGGAGGGGCTGGGAAGCTCCCTCCTTGGGGGCATCGTGGTCCCAGCATCTGACTCTTCCACCTCCCTTCTCTGGGTCCAAGGACCATCAGCAGCAGAGCTGGTACCAGAATCCGGTTCAAGAGGGGCCAGTGGGGCAGGTGCAGGTGGGTCAGGCCGGGGAGCTGGGGGCTGGGGAGGCATCTCAAAGGTGAAGAAGGGGCTCTGGGTTGGGCCAGGTGAGGCCAGGGCCTCCAGGGAGGCAAGGCTGCTATAGGATGTGCCCTTGGCCCGGTGTGACTCCATGATTGCTTCAAACACACAGCTGAAAGAGTCGGGCCCATCCGCCGAGGGGCTGGTCCCAGGTAGAAAGGGCACTGGTGACTTGAGAAGCCCACAGAGAGGCATGTGGTCCCCGGGCCTGCAGAGGCAGGGAAATGTCTCATCAGCTCCCCAGGACCAGGCCTCAGCAGGGTTTCACTGAACGCTTGCTGACTGGTATGGGGGTTCTCACCTCCCCTTTCCACAGATCCAAACCCTTTAAGAAACAGTCACTGGAGTAGAGGGCCCATGAAGTTCAGTGTGTCTGCAGCATCCCAGCCCTGCCCACCCTCAAGCACCCAGTCCCCCTCCTTCCCCCTCCCTACTAATCTCCCTTTCTCCTCCTTTCCCCTGATCCGCTTCCCTCCTGCCATCCCTTTTCTATTTCTGGCAACATCTTAGGAGATGCAGCTCCAAGCTGCAGTGGGGCGTGAGACAGAAAGGAAAAGCCCCCACATTTCCACACTTTCCTGCCAGGACCCAGGGTCACACTCATGCTCCCATGTCCTCGGGCTGGCTTCCCATGTCCCCAGTTTGGCCTCCAGCTTCTGACCCCTGATACTGCAGAACCCTGCCTCATCTCTGTGGCTGCCTCATCCTGGGCTTGACAATGCCCACATATCCCTAATATTCTCCCAGGCCTCGAGCCTCTGTCTGGAATCTCCTTCCCACACTGCCCATGCTGTCCTGGTCTTCTCTACCCCAGGTTCTTGCTGGAGTCAGCAGAAAAGAGCAAGCTACTTTCCCTCAGCAGTCCCACTCACCGGGCCCCCTCCGAGGCCTCAAACACCTCGTCATCGACCTCCTCTTCCCCACCTGCCTCATCATCTTCATTGCCACTGCCCAGGCTGGAAGGAGGACCAGGACATGGGCTAGGTCGTGAGACAGGTGGTTGGGCAGTTGGGCCCTCAGAGCTGGGCTGGCTCTCAATGGCCGAGTCAGCCTCCTCCCGCTCGGCCAGCACCTCGTCGATGTCCGTCTCTCGGTAGCACCTCAGGGGCACCTTGTCCAGGTCTGTCTCGGAGTACTTGGCTGCTCGCCCCACAGCCACCCCAGAGCCTTGCTTGGAGCCCACCCCACGCGATGGGAGGCCTTGCTCTGGGGGCTTAGCACCTGTATGCACACATACCCAGGCCAGGAGGTAATTCGTGTTGGCTTGCTTCCCCATGGCCCCACATAGACTGGAAACTCTTTCATATCTAACTGCTCTATATCTGCCACACCCTTCACTTGATCCAAATGCCTGTGGAACTCATCTCAGTGGAACTTATTTCAAGAACTCATCTCCTTATCAAACAGCTCTGAAGGAGACCAGACTTTCTTCTACTCCAGGAATAACCCTTGAGAGCTGGCCATCCCCTCCCTCTATCACCCAGCTTCCTCCAGAGCCCAGCCCAACCCTCACAACCAGATGAAAAAGCCTGGAGCCTGGAGAGACTTTGGCTGACTTGGAAGGCTTGAAGGATGCCTCTCTGCCAGGACTCAGCTGCTGTGGAGAAGGCCCTGCCCTCCGCCCCCGGGCTAAGTTCAGTACTTACCGGAGCTGGGGGGGTCCAAGGAGCCATAGAAGAATTCCCATTTGGCTCGAGCGATTCTCTGGGCATGAGAGGAGACTTCCCGGGGGGAGGACCAAGTGTCCCCCTGAGCCAAAGAGGGAGTGAAAGGCACAGGACCCCAAAATGAAAGCCACACGTACAAGGACACAGGAATATGGAACAGCAGAAAGGAAACCACATGGGACAGAGATGAAGGTGCAAGGACACAGCGACAGAGGCAAGAAAGCTGATTTAGGACATTAAAGGATTGGGATGACTATGAGACAAGCCTCAGCCCAACAGGGGCTGAGCTTTGTCCCGTAGCTCGGGCACTAGGGCCCCAGGGAGCCCAAGGCAGATTGCATACCTGGTCTAGGAATCCAGTGTCTGCAGGTCCCCGGAAGTGCATGGCCAGGCGCTCAGGGGCCCCTCCCAGCCCATTGGGGAGGGAGGAGTAAAGGCCCTCGGCCCCAGCCTGGGGTGGAACCAGCGGCCCACGTGAGGGGTCCCGGCTGCCAGGAAGGGCAGAGCCTCCTCCAGCCGGGAGTGGGTCTGACGTGGATGCCTCCAGCCGCAACTTCCGGTTGCAGCCAGGTCCAAGGGCTGGGGTGGGCCTGGGGGGAGAAACCCCACCCAGGTCCCAGCTCCGACTCAGGCCTCCAGAAGCAGGCAGGCCGTTCAGTGGCCTCACACTGGCCTTCTCCACAAAACGGAAGATGACCACAGAACTCTGTGCCCCTGGTGGGGGTTGCCCAGTGGGTGAAGAGGGTCCCCAGGGTGAGGGAGCCATACGGGGTGAGGGAGGCCTTCGAAGAGGGGTACAAGGTGCTGTCACACGTCCCAGGTCCCGGCCTCGAGGACCTGGACCTGCCACTCGACGTATCAGGGATCCTGTGCTGCCATACATGCTGGCTGGAGGACTTTGAGGCACAGGGCCTTCGGGGAGCCAGCGACGAGGACATCGTGGTGGGGAGATGGCACAATCGCCTTCTGAGCAGAAGCGCATGGCACCCTGGGCCATGCTGGGGTCAGGGGGTCAGGCTGGGGGGGCAGGGATGGCGAGGCCAGGCAGGGAGTGAGGGGGCTGCATGCTCTTCAGACAGGCCTGCAAGAGAGGAAGGGGAGCATGGGTGGGGTGGACAGGACTCAGACAAGCAGGACAGCAGAGACAGAGATGGGAAGGTGGGCTTGGGGCTTCCAAGGTCCAGAGACCTCAGACTCTGAGTATGGGATCACCCATCCTAACTTCGTTGGCTCCTTCTATGGAAGCCTGACTAGGAAAGTAGTATCCACTCAGTGGCCTCCAGTGCCCCTCCTCCTGTCGGGAGTTCTGAGCATCACTTTAGGAGGAAAGAGCAAGCCAATTCAGTTCACTGAGTTCAGCTCTGGGGCAGTTTGGAACTCTGTGTATGGAGGCTGGTATCCCATTTCTGACTCCTACGGCCCTCGGTCCTCTGTAGTTCCACTTGACACTCACTTAGAAAAGGAATTGCCAAGCATGGTAATGCACACCTGTAATCCCAGCACTTGGGAGGCAGAGGCAGGACGATCTCTGAGTTCAAGGACAACCTGTTCTACAAAGTGAGTCCAGGACAGCCAAAGCTACACAGAGAAACAGAGTTGTCTCAGAAACAACAACAACAACACTCCCCCTGCCCCCCAAAAAAGGAAATATCATGCTTCTTAGAAGAAGAATGAGGAAAAAGAGGGGTTACATAGGGATGATGAAGTATGTTAACACAGTAGAGAGGTAAGAAGAAAGGCCTGCAAAGAGGCCCCTAACCTCAGTCCATAGGTGCTGAGTCCAGAAGAGACATTCTTTATTCCATACCAGCACATGCACACACACACACACACACACACACACACACACACACGCACACACACAAATTCATATACACACATGCAGAAAGACAAGATATCAATATTCAGTTAACAAATTCATAGGCAACACCCCCAGCACACACAGACACACGCAGTACTGCTCATAGACACACCCTCATACACTCACAGTCATAACAAATATGTGTATAATAGAAAAGCACATGCTTGTTCTACACACACCGATCACTAAACAGGAATGCACAAAGAGGTACCCAAAATACAGACAGGTTCTCATCCTCTGAGGCACACAGAGACAGGTGCATCAGAGACCTCCCTGCCACAATCATAAACAGATGAATATTTGCACACATAATCAGAGACACACATTCTCTCCTCCCCCTGCTGGAGGCTTACAACACCTCCCTCCCCCCCAACTCCAGGGGTATGGCATATCTTGTCCAGCCCAGAGGAGGGACCATAAAGGAAAACGGGCCTCTGGTGGCAAAGCAGGGTAGAAAAAGCTCTCAGAAGCAGCACCCCTTCCAGACAGGTTCTTGACGCTCAACAGGGGCCTGAGCCTCCCCTGCGCAGCCCCTCCTCCAAGGCACCCCAGTACTCACCGCTGCTCTTTCGGAGCTGGAATCGAAGAGAGGCAGAGAGGCTGGGCCCCGTTCAGCTGTAAAAGCAGCAAGGCTCCCGCTTGCTCCAGGCCCGCCCGCCTCTCAGTCCCTCCTCCACCCCTCCCCACGCTCTGCTCAAGCAACGCTAATCCCCCCCTTCTTTCCCAGGGCCCTGAGTCCCAAAGCACGCCACGCCGTAGTCACTACCTAAGACTCACACCAGAGGAAGGGGAGAGTGTAGAGAACCCCCATTTCTCTTCCCTAAATCCTCATATGCCCCACCCCACTCGTGTTCAGTTCTCTCTTGTCCATCGTCTCCTGAACCACACGCAGGGTCCAGCTGCACACGCCTGTCCTGCTCCAGACCCCACGCGTGTCCCTAGGAGGCTGCCACATGACCTGTTACATGCCACACGCTCTCCCGCCCCCACAAGCACGCGGCCACGCAAAGCACACGGTATGGGAGTAGACCGGACCCGCCCCCTAAAACCAGAAGACCAACTATGAAAGGGACCTCAAGTGAACGCAGCCTTAAACACTTCGGGGTTCTGAACCCCAGACCCAGGAGTCCTGTCCTGACCACCCACCCGGAGTGCAGAGGAAGGATAAGTCAGACTCCAGGAAGAACTTCCTTGCTGCCTAGGTTAATCGTCCCTCCTTTTCAGGGGCGGGAGTTTAGAAGAGATGACCCCGAGACTGGGAAGAGAAGCCCAGGCAAACCTTGTGCCCTTGGCCAGGGTGGAAGAGGGTCTGGCTATTTTAGGAAAACGCCACACGAGTTACTATGGCAACTATTCTCCTTTGGAAGGCCAAGACCGTCAGGTTATGACCTGGGAATGAGGAGAGGGTCGGTTCGGGTGGTCAGAGGGTGCGAGGACGTTCGAGGCGGGGGTGCGCGGGGCTCACCACGGGGAGGGGTGGCGCGGGTTCCGCGAGGTGCTGAAGGGGACAGCGCCAGATTTGTCGTAATGCGCAAGCGCAGAGGCGCGAACAAAGGGGCGGGGGAGGAGGCGCGCGGCCGGAGGTGGTGCGCGCCCACGTGGATCCTTGCACAGATTCTTCCAGGCTGCCCCTTCCCGGAGCAGGATGAGAAGAGGAAGCAACCCCCTCACCCAACTTCACCCTCTTCTGCTCTTTCCGGTGCTGGCTTGCTTCTCCATGCTGCACTGAGTAATGAGGTAGTGTGGAAGGGATTTTGGGAAAACCAGGATGTCTGGGTTTTTTATCCTTGCTTCGTTGGATCCTGGTTAATCCTCGTTTGCCCATCTTTAAAACGGGCCGGACCTGCCTGTCTGCGCAGAGGTCTATTAAGCCCTGGTGAGATAACGGCTGGGAAGCAGCTTTTCTTAGGAAGAAGTGGCTGAAATGTTTGCGCAGGGGCGCGCAGCCTTGTAGTCTTTCACATGCACACACACCCACCTCGAATGCTGGAGGAAAACATTACGCCAGGGGGTCCCCAGAGTGGGATGTGGATTTAGTATCTGGGGGCGCAGTGAAAGGGAAACCAGATGATTGAGCTGCAAGCTTTGGGGCGTCACTCTCCCTACAACTAAGCCAGGGCCAGTAGAGAAGCAGTATGCTAGCGGGCGGCGCTGAACACGCATTCCTCTCGGACTCTTGACCGCTGGGAAGGAGGACGAGCTAGTCCTATATAGTCCTTTCTCCTTAGGCAAAAAGCCGGCCTACGCTGCCGTGAAGTGAAAGGAGATGGATGTCATGACTGTGCACTTCACAACTCACAAGGAATGGCAGGTCTGAACAAGTTTCCTTGATAAGAAAAGCCCTAGCGTCCGCCATCTAATCCATTCTTTTGGCAACTACTTATTGAGCACCTACTACATACCAGTTAGTTAGAGCCCGGGTAGCCTCTCCTTTTTTTTTTTTTCAAAGTCGCTTAAACGCGACTAGAGGACAGAAGGAGGCACTCGGTAACCTAGGAGTCCTGGCTCCGCCCCTTCTGCCTTTGGCCTTGTCTGCTCCTCCCATCACTACTCAGAGGCGGCTACTGGCCCGCAACGAAGCCCGAAAGCAGTCTTGGCTCGCCGCTGCTGCAGCCTCGGGCTTTAAGCCCCGCAGCTGGGAAGACATCTAATGGTCCACACTGCCTGTTCTGCCTCAGTTTCGGGATCCATCCGGAAAGCTTTCGGATAAGGACTCTCAGTGAGCCCGCACTCGATTAAATCGGTCTGTCTCTCCAGACCCAGGAGGCGGGCTCGCCGCAGCCGCTTCAAGGCCAAAGCTAGAAGAGCTTACTGCGCACGCGCAATAGACAGCGATGGAGCCACCAATGGAGCCGTCCGGAGGGGAGCAAGAACCCGGAGCTGTCAGGTACCGAGCACTGGAGGGGCCGAGGGAGGGAAAAAGAGACCCGCGGGAGGGCAGCTGAGTCCTGGCCCGAACTGGACCCATCTTGCCAGCCTGGACTCTGGGGTATAACAGACGGACTCGCACGTAACAGCGGCGTGGGGACATCAACGCCGCTTTACCCTCAGGCTCCTGGACCTGCCCTGGGAAGACGTGCTGCTCCCGCACGTCCTGAACTGGGTCCCGCTGCGCCAGCTGCTCCGGCTGCAGCGCGTCAGCCGCGCCTTCCGGGCGCTCGTTCAGCTGCACTTGGCGAGGCTGCGCCGCTTCGACGCCGCTCAGGTGAGCCGGGACCGGAGCCCCGCCCCCGCCTGGGTACCACCCTCGCCCCGCCTCCAGTCCAGCCCCAGCGGCGCCGTAAACCCGCTCCGACCCCAGCTGCGATGTGAACTCCAGAGAGCGGGTACTGGGCTGCGACTCGGAGAAAGCACGGTGCCTCTCCTGGGAGGGCAGGTGGCAGGCCCCGAAGGTAAGCGGCCGCCAGGCAGTGTCCCGACCCAGGGACAGACTGAGTCCCCGTGCCTCCCGCCCGCAGGTGGGTCCACAGATCCCCCGGGCCGCGCTAGCCCGGCTACTGCGGGATGCCGAGGGACTGCAGGAGCTAGCGCTGGACCCCTGTCACGAATGGCTGTCGGACGACGACCTGGTGCCAGTAGTGGCACGGAATCCACAGCTACGGAGTGTAGCCCTCGCCTGCTGCGGCCAACTGAGTCGCCGAGCGCTGGGGGCGCTGGCTGAGGGCTGCCCGCGTCTGCAGCGCCTTTCGTTGGCTCACTGTGACTGGGTGGACGGGCTGGCCCTGCGTGGCCTCGCTGACCGCTGCCCGGCTCTGGAGGAGCTAGACCTCACCGCCTGTCGCCAGCTCAAGGATGAGGCCATCGTGTACCTGGCGCAGAGACGAGGCCCCAGCCTCCGCAGCCTCTCGTTGGCAGTCAACGCCAATGTAGGGGACACCGCGGTCCAAGAGTTGGCTCGAAACTGCCCGCAACTCGAGCACCTCGACCTCACAGGTTGCCTTCGGGTCGGAAGCGACGCTGTAAGGTGCCTGGGCATGGGGGCGGTAAGGGGGGAGGTGGGCCGTCACTTTGGGGTAGGGTGGTGGGTTGTACTTGGCAAAGACCCGTCAGAAAAAAAAAAAAAAAAAAAAAACAAATCTGGGATTTTTTTTTTTTTTTTTAAGGCTAGTAAGCCTACAATTTAAAAAAACAAAACCAACTTCTGAGCCAAGATTGACACACTGAGAAGTGTCATATAAAGTTCATTTCTGGCATTTTTGCAACAAGAAGGTTAGGCTTGAAACACCGGAAAGTACTAAGGGTTGATACTCTCTAGGAGCCAGAAGCCCCCAATGAGCTGGGGCCTGCAGCCTGTAATTCCGTCCAGGACCCCTCCCTTAGGTACTGTAGAAAGAGCAGACGGTGAGCTGGAGGGAAGCCCGGTATTTGCTGGAGCCGGCTGCAGGGTTGCCGGGCTGACCCTGCAGACCGGGCCTGCACCTAGCACCATCCTGCCCCTCCTCAGGACTTTGGCCGAGTACTGCCCGTCGCTGCGGTCGCTGCGAGTGCGGCACTGCCACCATGTGGCCGAGCCCAGCCTGAGCCGCTTGCGGAAGCGTGGTGTGGACATCGACGTGGAACCGCCCCTGCACCAGGCCCTGGTGCTACTCCAGGACATGGCAGGCTTCGCACCCTTTGTCAACCTGCAGGTCTGACTGATTGTCCTTCAGCACAGCTGGACTGTGTAGTCGGGGCCTGACTCTGAGTGGTCGGGAAACTGAACTGCGGGGGGCCTGTGGTTGAGACCTCTGATATATCCTGCTCCACCCTGGAATTTCAAATAAAGAGCTTTTTACCCCTTCTTGCCTGGTGTATGGGGGATGGGAAGCTGGCATCAGGTCAGACAGATAGAGTAACTGTTCCTGCCCTGGGGTCAGAAATGACCAGAATGAACTTACACCTTCTTTGAACCACCTTTACTGTGCTCTTGAAGGCAGCTCCAAGAATAGATTAACACTAGAGCAAGGAAATGGAGACAAGACAGGATGGACGCCCAAGGTTCCCCATCCCTTTGGGGTCTGGAAGGCTCAGCAGAGTCCAGCCAGCGCCTCAGTGGAAGCGGTACTTTCTGGCTGGCTTGAGGTTGATATATGTGGCCTTCATCTCCTCGGCCTCAGGGTTCCGCACGTCTTTGAATCGCTCTCCCTTGGTGCTCACTACTTGGTTGTCAATGTATCGGATGAGCTTCTTGGGGGCCTGTCGGGCAATCAGGCAATGAGTGACTGAAAGAGCAGGGGTCGGAGCTCCTCATGCCACCTCCCCAGCTGCATCCCAACCTTCTTACCTCCTTGGGAGCCATAGGTCGGTGAATCTTCTGATCCTCTGCACTATCCACCATCATGTACCTGCCAAAAACTGGCTGGCTGAAGCTCCTGCCACCCTGGAAGACCCTCCAAGGTCCAGCCCAGCCCAGACTTACTTCTGAAGGATGAAGGACTTCAACTCATCCTTTTGGGGGCTTCTGAGACGCCTGGGCAAGTCCTGTGGATACAGGAGACCTATGCTAGGCCCAGTGGCAGCAACAGGGGAAACAGATGAGGACAGGTGTGGGGGGGTGGTGTGCTTAACAAGAAGCACACGGAGCTGAGGTCACTGGGCGTGGAGGGGCTGAAAGAGGATACCTGATTTGAGCCATCCCAGCCTGGAGGCCCCTCTTGCTTGCCCTCTACCAGCATCTGCACAGCTTCTTCCAAGTCCCCCCGAGCTTTGGCCAGCACCCACTGTGCCTGCTCCACAGAACAGGTAGGGAATACCTCCAAGAGCACATCTACTCCCGGCAGAAGTTCTTCCTCAGCAGCAGCGGCCTGTGGGCACAAAAGTTAACAGTATGCTACACTTCTTCCTCTCCCACCCCAAGGTCCTTCATGGGAGCCCTCCTCCACCGGTACCTTATCTTGGGTGTTCCCAGTAGCAGCAGGAGACCTGGTCTCTTCTTTGAGCTTTTCAGGTTGCCTCGGGGTCTCTGGAAAAATGGGCACCTGACCTTGGACACAGAAACTCTGTGGGTGCAGGTTCACTCCAAAAGGCAGAGAGGGTATCAGATTTACCTGGGCTGGGGGAAGGGTGAGATCCTAATGCCAGATCCCCAAACTTACCTTTGTTCCTAGCATCACTCAGCTGCATGGAGAGCTTCTGCATCATGTCTCCTATTACACCTCTGAAAGGGCCAAGAAGGTAGTGAGGGGGACCATTCTGCCCCAACCCCAGCCAGCCAGCCAGCCAGCCCCCTTCTTTTTGCCCCAGCCAGCCCCTACCTGGGGATGTGGGCAAAGCCAGGGACATAAGCCTCCATCATCTCAGTGAAGGCCTCCATATCAAAGTTCTCCTCTGATGGGCCTGACGGGCCCAGGTCCTCCAGGACCCCAAGCACATAGGAGAAGATGACCTCATCCAAGCCACTGTAGGAAAGAGCAAGGCCCCTAGGCAGGACACTGGATATCCGCAGCATCCCCACCTAGTCTAGGACTGCGGTCCTCAGTTTCACAGGGCGCGTGAGGCCTCTCTCCTCCCAACTCCTTCAGCTTTAGTTTTCAGTCAATCTAGTATAAGTGATAGGCACAATATGAGAGAGAAGACCATCTAAGCAGGGCCTGGAGAGATGACTCAGTGGTTAAGAGCACTCACTGCTCTTCAGAAGGTCCTGAGTTCAATTCCCAGCACCCACATGGCAGCTCACAATATCTGATGCTGTTTTCTGGTGTGCAGATGTATATACAGATAGTATCCATAATACATATATATATATTTTATTTAAAAAAATATATTTTTTTTAAGAAAGACCATCTAAGCAAATAAAATTCAGCTCTCCAGAGCTGGAGACATGGCTCAGTTGTTAGGAGCACCTTCTGCTCTTCAGAGGACCCAGGTTTGATTCCCAGCACCCATGTGAAGTAACCCACAGCTGCCTACATCTGTCTGACACCCTCTTCTGGCCTCCATGGGCACCTGCACACACAGAGAGAAACATAATCTTGAAAAAAAAAAAAAAAAAAGAAAGTAGGTGCTAGAAATATGGCCCAGTGGTTAAGAGCACTTGCTGTTCTTGCAGAGGACCAGGGCTCAGTCCCCACCTCAGAACAGGACTAAATACTTTCTAACCACCCTTTCACTGGCCAGCGGCCGCAGTATTATCTGGCAACACCCCTCTGAAGTTGGCCTGGCCGTTTAGAAGGAGCCGCCCTTACCTGAGGTCCGCCTCTGGGAGGTGTGTCTGAACAAAGGTAAGGAGGGCTGAACTGACAATCCTCTCCAACTCCATGCTGTCTCTTCTGAAGGTACACAAGACAGAATTGCCAGGTCTCTGGCCTGCTTCTGCCCACTGGGCCACAGGGCAGCAGCTCCTCCTTTCCCTTGGAGGCTGAACCAGCTGCTGATGTCCTCCCCGCTGCTGCGCGCAGACTTACTCCCTGGGCCACCCACTACTGCCTGCTCCAGCCCCAGACAGGGTACAGCACTGTCTCTAGAAAGCTTCCAAAGGGGCTGTGGCCCTCCCCAGCTCCTGTGGCTAGATGCTGAGGTCTTGGGGTCACATGCCTCCTGGCTAAGGAATCTCATCACTGAGAGAGCTACTTGGCCCCCAACTCCAACTACAAGGGGCCCCATTGTCCAGCCCTGTAAAGAAGGAGGTCTCAGGACCAAGATAGCCCTTCCCCCACCCAGGACGGGCCACCCACCCTTTGCACAAAGGAATTTTTTTTTTTTTTTTTTTGGCTCTGGAGCCTATACAGAGGAGAAATTCTACATGGATTCTCTCCTCATGCTCAATCCCTGCCTGTCCAGCAGTCTGGGCTATGAAAGACCTTTGTCATCTTCCAGCCTATGGACCACTACACAGTCTGGTCTTTGCCCACGTCAATCTCACACTGTCTCCTCACTTGCTCTATCCCATTGCCCTTGATGTCCCTAGCGCCTAGGAAAATGTCTACATTCAGCAAGTGCTAGGTACTTGCCAGCTTAATTCATCTGCATGCTTCTTAAAAAGATGATTTTTATTTTCTGTGCACAAGTGTTTGCCTGCATGTATGTATGGGCACAAAAGTACATGCCTGGTGCTCATGGAGATCAGAAGAGGGCGCCAGATCCGCTGAAACAGGACTTTCAAAAGGTTATTAGCCAACATGTGGGTATTGGGAACTGAACTTGTGTTCTTTGCAAAAGCACCAAGTGCTATTAACTGTCAAGCCAGATCTCTAGCCTCCATTTCCATGCTTTCAAGTCCCCCAAACTCTACTTGGGAGTCAGGAATATACAGATGATAAGAATGGCTCAAGATTCAGAGAACCAAATGTCAGCAAATCCTCTCATCTGGAAGACTCTGTCAGCGTCTCAGAATGCACCTTTCCCAAACTCATCTCTTCACAGGTCCACATCCCCGGTAAACAAATACTACTCCCTCAGCTACCGCATCTGAAACTTGGGGCCATCCTTGATTTTGCCCTGTCTCGCCTTTCCCCGGGCCCAAATGATCAAACCAAGTCCCATGGGCTGTTTCCTGCTGTGAACACCTCCTTAGCACAGCTTCTGTTCCGAGTCTCTACCAGCATTTCTCAGGCTGAGGTAACCAGCGACTTTTCAGGTCTTGGTCCACTGAGGCTGAACCATATGACTCCCCATTTTGTTCTGAACACTTTGTGGATGGTTTTGCTCGATGTTTGCCCTTTCAGCAACACCACCTATGTTTCCTGAGGTCACAGCCTCTGGTGTCCTCCCCCCTGTCCAGTATGTCCTCCCTCCCTCCAGTACGCCCCTGCCCGTTCCCCTCTCTGCTGCCTCTGCCTCTCCTTGCCATGCTGCTTTCTCTGCAGGGCCTCACCTAGGCCCTCCTTGTGTGCACCTGTATGTCACCAACCCCCAAATGCTCATTCCTCTGGTTGAGTCTCTGAGCTGCTGGCACCTTTACCTCACTGACACCACTATATGGAAAGCTTACAGCATCTCACACCACGCACGCCCCTTGGGACGTGCTCTCTTTTCAGTCCTCTAGGACCATCCTCTCTAAATGCATATCCAGCCACAAGGCTAGGAAGTAACCATGACACCACCCTACCCCCTGATTTCCATCAGCCAATTAGCTACCAAATCCTAACTATTCTTTAGTGCCTCTTTGTATGTGTGTAGAGTGTAGTGTAGAGTGTAGAATGCAGTGTAGTGTATAGGGCTGTCTCACCGTGCCGTGCGGTGTGGGTGCACTGGGCAGCTTGCTGATGGAGCATGTATATGGAGGCCAGAGGCTGACATCAGGCTGTCTGCTTTAATCACTTCTCTGTCTTTTTGTTTGCTTAAGACAAAGTCTTTCATCCTGGCTGTCCTGGAACTCTCTATGCAGACCAGAACGGGCTTGAACTCACAGAGATTCCCCTGCCTCCCAAGTGCCTTGGGTTTTTTGTTTGTTTGTTTGTTTGTTTAACAGGATATCTTGATGAACCCAGAACATTCCATTTTGGCTTTTCTAGCCGGCCATGCACTCTTGTCTTGAATACCAAGTGCTGAAGTTACAGCTTTGCTACAGTTACAGGTTTGTTTTGTTTTGCTTTGGGGGTGGTGTTTGTTTGTTTGAGACAAGGTCTCACTATTCAGTCCTGGCACATACCATGCACAACATGGCCATCACCTCAAAGGGATCCTCTTGCTTCTGCTTGGGATTAAAGGCAAGTACCACCATCCTGGATACATCTGTTTTTGTTGTTGTTGGGTTTTGTTTTGTTTGTTTGTTTGTTTTTGCAAGACAGGGTTTCTCTGTGTAGCCTTGGCTGTCCTGGATTCACTTTAGAGACCAAGCTGGTCTCGAACTCACAGAGATCC